ACTCCTCAGCTCTACTGATGAGTACCCAGAGGCACCCCTTTCTACCAGCAAGCCTTTTTCCTGAACTCACAGTTTTCTCACTCCATGGGCCAAGCAAAGTTCATTCTAAGCCAATCTCCTGGTTTTGCTGCCACTGTCTCTCACAATAATGTTACAGCTCTCTGGCTCATAGGTCTAAGGGGCTTTCACAGCAAGGACCCAAAGGACACACTCCATTCCTGATCTTCTTCTTGGTTATTAGGAGGTTTTGCCTTTGCTCTGGCTGTCTTTCAGAACTAACAAGTCATCTCTTCTGATTCCTTAGACTTTATCTGTTGACTGTTGTGGGAAGCTGAATATCAAATTTAATATTAGAAATAAACTAAAAGCTAAGTTGTGCCAGGAAATCTGGAGGACAGCCAGCTGGCTGACTAACTGGAAGAGATCGGTATTTGTTCCCATTCCAAAGAAAGGTGACCCAACTGAGTGTGGAAACTACAGAACAGTGTCATTGATATCACATGCAAGCAAGATTCTGCTGAAAATTATCCAAAAACGTTTGGAACAATATGTCAACAGAGAACTGCCAGATGTACAGGCTGGATTTAGAAGAGGTCGTGGGACTAGGGATATTATAGCTAATGTTAGCTAGATCTTGGCAGAAAGCAGAGAATACCAGAAGAATGTGTATCTGCGCTTCATTGATTATGCAAAGGCTTTTGACTGTGTGGATCACAACAAGCTGTGGCTGACTCTGAGAAGAATGGGAATCCCAGAACATTTCATTGTGCTAATGTGAAACCTATACTTGGATCAAGAGGCAGTCGTCAGAATAGAGCAGGGAGACAATGAATGGTTCGGTCCGTCAGGGATGTATTTTGTCTCCATACCTTTTCAGTCTATATGCAGAACAGATCATCTGAGATGCTGGGCTGTATGAGGAGGAATGTGGCACCAGGATTGGTGGAAGAATCAACAACAACCTGCGCTATGCAGATGACACAACGCTGCTTGCTGTAACTGAGGACCTGAAGCGCTTGCTACAGAAAGTCAAGGACTGCACTCTTCAATATGGATTGAAGCTCAACATCAAGAAAACAAAGATTCTCACCACTGGGCCAATTGGCAGCATCAGTATGGATGGTGAAGAGATTGAGATAGTTAACAGTTTTAGTTTACCTTAGTTCCAAGTCAACACTCTTGGTAACAGCAGTCAGGAAATCAGGAAATAAATTATATTGGGAAAGTCAGCTGTGAGGGACCTCTCAAGAGTACTGAAGAGCAATGACATCAGGCTGGAGACTAAGATGCGCCTGATTCAGGCTATAGTCTTTGCAATTACATGCTATGTATCGGAGAGTTGGACAGTGAATAGGGATGATAGAGAACTGACACCTTTGAGTTGTGGTGCTGGAGAAGAGTGTTGAATATACCATGGACTGCTAGGAGAACAAACAGGTTTGCCTTTGAGTTGTGGTGCTGAAGAAGAGTGTTGAATATACCATGGGCTGCTAGGAGAACAAACAGGTTTGTCCTCGAGAGGGTGAAGCCAGAATGTTCCCTGGAGTCAAGGATTCTGAAGCTTCAGCTGGCATATTTTGGGCATGTTGAAAGGAGGGACTGGTCCTTGGAGAGGGACTCATGTTTGGAAGAGTGGAGGTACAGCCCAGGAGAGGAAGACCCTCGATGAGATGGATCAATTCTGTGAGTGGAGTGGTGGGAATGAGTGTGTTTGAGACGGTGAGGTTAGCACAGGATAGAACGGCGTTTAGGGCTCTTGGACATAGGGTCACTATGAGTAGATGAGGGAGAAAACTGTTTAAAAGGGATATGTGATTAGGTATTATTGTCATGACAGGAATCCAGAATGAAGGCTGCATAGAGCAGTGGACTTGGGGGGAGGGACTGTATAACAATGAAAGAATTTTTCTTTTACTTTTCAAAGAGAAGAGCAAATTGGGGGGAGGGAGAGATGGGCAGGGAGAAAAGAGCATCAATGAATGAATGGAAATCCTCAGTCCCTGTAAACTTTCATTGAAATTAATAATAATTTTTTAAAAATTTTAAAATGTTAAAAGAATGCATATATAACTAAGATGTGCCTCATTCAAAGCCATGATAATTTTCAATTGCTTAATATGCATGTAAAAGCTGGATAATTAATAAGTAAGGAAAAAAAAATTGATACCTTTCAAGTGTGGTGTTGGTGAGAACTATTGAATACACTAGGGAGCTCTGGTGGCTTAGTGGTAAGGAGCTACACTACCAATTCAAAGGCATAGGGTTCAAATTTACCAGCTGCTCTGTGAGAGAAAGATGGATAATCTTTTCCTTGGTGATTTACTGTCTCTGAAACTCACTGAATGTCAAGTATGAGTTAGTTCTGAGTTGACAGTACATAACAACTGGACTGCAAACAAAACTTTCTTGGAAGAAGCATAGCCATAATGTTCCTGAGAAGTAAGGACAGTGCAGTGCAGTGGTATGATTGTTCAAAATGGCCTTGTTAAGGCCATTGCCCTTCATTGTGCCACATGGCTGAGGGAGAACATGCAAATACAATGTGTTAGTCTAGCAGAGAATTGGCTAGTTTTACATTCCACCAGGCTTAAATGGAACAAGTTCAGTGGCAGAAATTTGGGTATCTCACTAACAACAAAAAAGCAGCAAAAAATACAGTACACTTCCTTTGAGGCCTGAGATTCCTGCACCAGTCAGACTAAAGTCTACAGGAGAGAACCAGTGGCTACAGTAGAGAACCAGAGACCCTGTATGCGACAGAACTCACCTTGGAGCTGCTACTCCATGAAGCCAGAGCCAAGGGCCTTTGCCCAAGTTTGCTAGAGGACTGAAGGGTGGGAGGAGATGTCTTAACTGGCAGGACTAAAAGAGCTTTCTAACAATGTCCTAAAGCCACAAGGTTTAAGATTGAAAGGCCTTTGAGAATACTTCAGAAGCTGTCCTGTTGCCAACCTTCATTATAACCTGTTCACTTCCCTGATAAATCCTGTAACTGTTATGGTTTTTTGTGAGATCTGTATAGCTATTACATCAGATTTCAGAACCAGTAGAATAGTAGGGTTGTTGGAATTAATAGAAATAGATGACGGAATATTGGGGGCATGTATGACCTTATAGGAATTTGTTTTGTACTACGGATGTTGTTGATGGGCACAGTTTCCTCCTGTGGAATTAGTAGAAGTCATTCTTGGCTGCCTCCATACCACACTTGCTCTTTTTACAGATGGTGAAGCTTCCTGTCACATACTTTGGACATGTTATCAGGAAGAGACAGTCTCTGGAAAACGATATAATTCTTAGTAGAGGGTCAGTGAATATGAGGTAGACTCTCAGTAAGACAGACTAATACAGTGGCTCTAACAATGGACTCAAAGATAGAAAAACCTGTAAAGATGATCCAGAACCAGACTGTGTTTGTTCTCTTGTACGGTATCCCTCTGGGTCAGAATCGACTCCATCAGATTTGGCTGAACTCTAACTAGTTCCTCACAGCTCCTACCAAGAATTACTTATTTCTAAGAGCATTTCTTAAACCTCCCCAGGCCTGATCTCACTTTCCCTGTACTTCTTTAACATTCTGTGCATATCTCTGAGGTAACACTGACCTGACTGTGTCTTTAAAGCCATATCTGTTGAATGGTCTGTTGTTGCTGTTAATGCCCTTGAGGACTCATAGGGACAACAGATCTGAACTTTGTTCTAGCCTATCATCCTTTACACATTTAAGTTCAATGCCACAGAAACTGTATCAATTCATCTCGTTGAGGATCTTCCTCTCCTTCAGTAACCCCTCCACCTTTCCAAGCATTATGTCCTTTTCCAACTAGCAGCTTCTCATAACAACGTGTCAAAAAAAAAAGGTGAGCTCTGGTGGCCTAGTGGCAAGAAGCTGCACTGCAATCTCAGAGGTACACGGTTCAAATCCACCAGATGCTCTGCTGGAGAAGGAGGAACAATCTCCTCCTGTATCAGTCAGATCTGATTTGACGGTACACACAAAAAATAATGAAATAAAAATTTTTTTTAAAAAAGTGAGACAAAGCTTCACTATCTTTACCTCCAAGCAATATTCTGATTGTACTTTCTCCAAAACATATCTGTTTGTTCTTTTGGTTGACTAGGTAGACATCAAAGGATTCTATAGTTCAATAATATGAGACAAAGGAGTGAAATACTATTACAATTGCATTTTTAAAATGAAACCTATATAGAACACAAATTGCCAGTAATATTAAACATATTAAATATCCTCATGAAGATGCGGGGTTATAAAATTAAATGTCTGTTTTAGCAATTTTGGTCCTTTTAATACGTCATTCATAACCCATCTTTGTTCCAATGATTTGCATATATTATGCAAATAAGATAATTATCCAAAGAACGCCTACTTCGTGTGGTGCTGATGACACGCTCCCTAAACCCATGGATTGGCCCATCTATCCACCTTATTTGCATGACGCGTTTTAATAAAACAATAGCCACGCCCCTTCGTCGTTTTCACCTCTCCCGGAGGGATGTGTAAACCAGAGCTCTTCCCAGGTTGACGTAAACTCCGCCTACTGGCAGTTAATCCGTCTCATTACTCCGTCTTCCCTCCTCGTCTGCTCCGTTGAATGCACCATGAATCTTACACCGCTCCTCTCCGTTCCGCGAGCTACGTCCCTCCGCTCCCAACTTTCCAAGAACGTATGACGTACGCTCCGCCTCTTCCTCCCCTACTTCGTCGTGTAAATTCTGCGTCCCAACCGCCCAGCCGGCAGCATTCCCGCCCCCTCTATACGTATCAACGGACGACGGCGGAGGCCCGCCTCCTTAGCCAACCGGTGTCCTAGAGCCTGTAAGTCCCTCCTCTTTATGTAAATCATCCCCGCATGTTCTGCACGCCTTGCCTTTTTATAAATAAGGACAAGCCTGGCTGGAAGGAGGGCTAGAGTAGAAGGCGCCCCGCCCTTTATGCAAATAAGTGGGCGTGTTCGTTCGCGGAGGGAGGCGGGAGGTGGGGGGGCGCTCCCGGGGGCGGCGGTTGCCCGGATGGGCCGTTAGTCGGAGCCCAGCCGCGGAGTGAACGAGGGAGACGGGAGGAGCCGAACCCGGCGCCATCCGCCGCCATCCGCCCCCGCCCCACCGTCATCCCGTCTCCGGGAGCCCCTAGGCACTAGTCCCGGATCCCCGCGCACCCGGCCAGGTGAGTCTGGGTGAGCCGAGGGCTGACGCTCTTTTCCGGCGCGGTAGCAGTGGTGGCGGTGGCGGCGGCATTGGCAGCGGCGACGGCCGGGGGGAGGAGAAGCTGCCATTAGCCGCCGCCATTTTGTCCTCCTGCTGCCGGGGCCTGGCCGCCCCTCCCCCTCCATTGCCCCCTCCCCCGCACTTGCACCCGCGGACCATCTCTCAGGGTCTATACCCAGCCATTTTCCTTCTCACCCACCTTCTTGGCTTGCTTGGGCTGTTTTGCGCTATTAGGCTCGTGTTTCCCACCCTCTGCTGCATTGCTGGTACCTAACCCCCCTCAGTGGGCTCCCTACCCCGCCGCCACTTTGGGTGAACCGCCCCCGCTGGTCCTCTTCTATGAGAGCCTCTTTTTCTCCATAGTGGACCCCCTCCCATCACCCTGCACGCTGGTCCCCCCACCTTGACGCCGAATCCCTCCCACTCTTGCTTTTATCCTGTATCTTTGCTTGCTACTTTCCTCAGTTTTCGCTCCTCTGTTTTCTCGAATTTCCTATTCCCTGCTTTTCATTCAGTCCCAACCTCGTTTCCCCCACCCATCCCGTGTCTCTTAACATTAGCTCATGACTTTGCACCCCATCACTCCATTGGTTTTTCTGACTGCTTTTTCCGAGTATATATTTTAACAGATTGCCCACTTTAAAAAACATACCCTCATCCTCTCATCTGTATCTTGTCATAAAGTTCTCTTCTTTTATATTTTTAGTTTGTACCCTGATTCTGTATTTCCTTGCTTCCTACCACCAACCATCTCTTTTTACCTTCACACTGCCTCCAGTCCCCAGCCCCTACTACCTTCTGCTGCCAATAAATTAGTGCATGGTCACTCTGGAATGGACTGAAGCAAGAAAGAAAGTAAGGCCTGGTTGGGGAGCAGAAGCTCGAGTTATAGAAGAGGGAATGCACAGGGACATGCTTGGGAAAATGTTGTTGGGTTGGTCCTGTCAGTGGCCCCATGGTTACAGAGTGCTCTGGGGGCTGGCTCCTTGGTGCTTTGTTTTTCTCAGATCTACACAAGTTAAGCCAAGGCCTTACAATATTTCATCTAGAAACCAGATTATTTCTCCCCCCCCCCAGAACTGAGATAGGGGCAAGTTTAAGAAGACATGGGGTATTCCAGTAATTGGGAATATGTAAATCCCTAGTTGTTCATGAGGAATTTTCTGGCTGTAGTTTCCAGACTGACTGAGCAAGCTCATAAAATCCTTTTAACTCCCAGCATACCTTCCTGAGAACCTCTCCAGATGGGACTGAAGGCTGCTGGGAATAGAGCCCAGGGCACAGCGTCCTGGGACAGGATTTGGGAGTTGATGTCTAATAAATAGGGAATTTAGGGTTCAGGTCTCTGTATGATGAAGTTGTATACCTATTTCTGAGTTCTAGATGTCCTTGCACCATTGTGTTAAATGTTTGTGAAGTGATTTTGGTGGAGGGGAAAGAAATTACTTGAATAATAATGAAGAGTCAGCTGCCCTTTGTAGACTGGTACAAAGGGAATTGTGTTTATACTGGGAGGATATATTAGATTTTGTTTGGGTTTCCTTGGCAAATGAGATTTAGGGCAAATGTGGTATTTGGATTATATAGAAGCTGAGTATATATCATGGTTGTTTAAACTGGGAAGTTATAGCCAGCAGGAAAGAGACTGAAAGGCTGCATATCTGCTAATGAGGCTGAAAGGGAATTTCTAGGCTTCTTTTGGAATCTGTGAAGGGGACAGAGACTAAAAGTACTTGATGTCTGAATCACAGGCACCGGCACGTTTTGGGGGAGGTGCCTGCAGGACCCAACGTACTCAATGAGCTTCCAGCGCAATGTCCGATCGCTCGGGGCCGACTGCCAAGGGGAAGGATGGAAAGAAGTATTCCTCGCTCAACCTGTTTGATACGTATAAGGGCAAGTCCTTAGAGATCCAGAAACCCGCTGGTGAGAGCTCTTCAAAGATGCTCCTAAGTAGTGAAGTTTGTGCATAATTGGGGGATGCACTTTTGAGCTTTTTTTGAAGGGAGATAAGATTTTAATAAAAATGATAAAAGACAAGGGAAGTATTGGAGATTTCCCAACTTTACCTTGGGTCCTGTAGGAGAATTAGCCTCTGGTGAATGCTACCTATATATCCTCCTACAAAGGCGTGTCTGTGGTTTTCTGTCCTTGGACACGTAAGAATTGGAGGCAAAGAAATAAGGACTTGGAAGAGTCTAGGGCCAGCTTGCTCCTTGCAGGCTCAAGCTCACCCATCCAACATTGAGTCTTAGTCTTCAAACTTGGAGATCATTAATGGCAGGGGAAAGTGTTGCTTGAAAGAGACTTCTAGGGTGAGTGCGTGTCAGACATTGACATAAGACAGGATATCAAAATGAGCCCTTTTTTAACCTCTTCCACCTTTTCTCTAGTTGCCCCTCGCCATGGCCTGCAGAGTCTTGGGAAAGTTGCCATTGCCCGGCGTATGCCACCCCCAGCCAACCTTCCAAGCCTGAAAGCCGAGAACAAAGGCAATGACCCAAATGTCTCACTAGTGCCGAAAGACGGGACAGGATGGGCAAGCAAACAGGAGCAGTCCGACCCCAAGAGGTAGACTGAGATTTGAGTTACCTAGAGTAATGGGTATTTAACCCTGAACCTCGGAGTGAGTGGGGCTTGGTTAGCTCAGCCACATGAGAACCAGATAGGTCCTTCACCACCCAATTCTAGGTCTTGTGTTACGTGATTAAAGGATAGTATCTTTAGCTTTCTCTCATAGATGGAGAGAAAGCATGAAGAAACAGAAGACAGCCTATGCAGGGTGACAAGGTTATAGTATTTTGTCTTAGGGTATATAAATGGTAGTGGATGGGTTTTAGTCCTTGCCCTCCACCAGTTGGAGAAGTAGGGGAGACACCTCTGTCTGTAGATAACCTTCCCATCAAACCGTCCTCTCAGTTCCGATGCCTCAACCGCTCAGCCGCCGGAATCGCAGCCACTGCCGGCTTCACAGACGCCTGCCTCCAACCAGCCGAAACGACCCCCAGCAGTCCCCGAGGTACCTAGAGAACTGGATATTTCTGGAGAAAGAGTGAAAGGAGCTTGTAACTCCAACACTCATCAACATCATCTCTCTATCTCCCTAGAACACTACTTCGGCTCCAAGCGGGGTAAAGTCCTGGGCACAAGCCAGCGTCACCCATGGAGCACACGGAGATGGTATGTATAGAGCTGTTTGAGAAGCTTTAGGCACCATGGTGTACAGGAGCCTTGAACTGTAAACTCCGAGCAACATTTTTCACTTTATTGGCCACCATATTCCATTACATGGAGTGCATAAATAAGTTTTAAGTCTCAGCATTCACATGAGGTTGGGTGATCTTCAAGAACTGACTTGCTACTTGGGAAGTGTACTGGTTGAGATGACCTAGTACTAACTACTTCTATGGTGGGTCCATTGACATAGTGTTCTCTTCTGCTCTGCACTACCATTCCAACAGGTGGAAGGGCATCAAGCCTACTGTCACGATTCTCTCGAGAGGAATTTCCGACCCTGCAGGCGGCTGGAGACCAGGACAAGGCTGCCAAGGAAAGGGAGTCTGCCGAACAGTCGTCTGGGCCCGGACCAAGCCTCCGCCCCCAAAGTAAGCATGATTCAAACTCGTTTACCTTTTCCATTACCTTTTGGCCAGTACATGTTCTCATCATATTCCAGAGCCATGCGTTCTTTGTCATCTTTTTTCTTACCCTCTTCATCATCATTCACTTGGCCCAAAATCATCAGTCTCTTCTCTCTCTTTTCTAAAATACAGATTCTGCAACTTGGAGGGACGGAGGTGGGCGTGGTCCTGATGAGCTGGAGGGCCCGGACTCCAAACTTCATCATGGCCATGACCCCCGGAGTGGGCTACAGCCTTCTGGCCCACCCCAGTTCCCTCCCTACCGCGGAATGATGCCGCCCTTCGTGAGTTTGAGTATCTTGTTTTAGCATGCTTGCATTGAAAGATTGGGAGTTAGGAATTATAGCTTAGTTTTTGAAAGAGGGGAAAAGTTGGAAAGTGGGAGCCAGATGCATAGAATAAGAATGAGGAGATGATGTCATGCTTAGGGAGCTTACAGGCTATTTGACTTTTCTTCTGAGCTGCTACTGTTTGGCCGTTTTTCAGATGTATCCCCCATATCTCCCATTCCCTCCACCATATGGACCCCAGGGGCCTTACCGATACCCTACTCCTGATGGGCCAAGGTGAGTGATCTGAGTCTGGATTTGTTGGGAGTAAGGAAGAACTATTACTTTTTTAGCTGAGAGATTTAGTCATGTATGTTGTTAAATAATATAGCATTTTTATTTTCTCTGTAATTTTATATTTTTTTTATATAGCCGTTTTCCCCGTGTGGCGGGCCCCCGGGGCTCAGGGCCGCCAATGCGCCTGGTAGAGCCTGTGGGTCGGCCTTCCATTCTTAAAGAGGATAATCTCAAAGAGTTTGACCAGTTGGACCAGGAAAACGATGATGGTTGGGCAGGTAAGTAGATATTAAGGGTCAGGATTTTAGCTCTTAAAAGGTCTAATGCGAGGGGCTGGGGGGAGGTGAGATTATATGAATGTCGGGAAAGACATAACATGAAGGGAAGGTGAGATACAATACTTGCAGTAAAATTAAACTATGGTAAAGAGAATAGCAGTGAGATATAGTAACTCAGCCTTAGATATTAACTTTAAAGGAGGAGCCTAAGGATGGATGGCATTGGTAGTCCACTTACTGCATTCTAAGAAAATATCTAGGGAAATAAAAAAGATAATACCTAGGTTACTACTCTTCACATCTCTCTTCAGGGGCCCATGAGGAGGTGGACTACACTGAAAAGCTCAAGTTCAGTGATGAGGAAGACGGACGAGACTCTGATGAGGAGGGAGCAGAGGGCCAGTGAGTTAGGGCCTTGTGGAAAGTGGGGGGGCCTCAGTTTGTCTTGTGATATGCTATTAAAGGCACTGGGCTGCAGCTGATTTTAATTCCACTGTTGGTCTGCTCACAGCAAGGAGTCCCAATCAGCTGCTGGTGAGGAACGGCCCCCTGAAGCAGATGACAAAAAGGGCAACTCCCCTGGCAACGAACCGCCCCCTCCCAAGACGGCCTGGGCAGAGACCTCTCGGCCTCCAGAGACAGAGCAGGGGCCTCCTGCCCCAAAGCCTCCCCCACCCACACCTCACAGGGGCCCCACCGGGAACTGGGGCCCCCCTGGGGACTACCCAGTGAGTGTCTACAATGAGGGTTGAAGGGTTAGTTGTGGGAGATGAATGTCATCTGAGTAGTTAAAGCATTAGTAATTGAGAAACCTGTTGAGAGGGCCAAAAATGGGCTGCTTATATTGTAGAGACGAGCATTTCAAAAGATTTGGAACTTGGTGTTAAAGGAGTTATGTAGAGGAGGAGATACTGGAATGCTAGGGAAGGAGGAACAAGACCTGGTGTTTGTATATGTTAGAAGATGGGGAACAAAAACACAGAATACGGGTTAGGAGTTTGGACCTACCCAGAAAGGGACCCAGAGACCTGGTTGGTCCTTGCATCCCATAGCTAAGCTTGAGGCATTTGATTGATCTTTGAAAAAGATTATAAGGAACATAGATGACTTATACTCCTGGCCTTGGTCTTCCTGTCACCAGGATCGTGGGGGCCCTCCTTGCAAACCTGCTCCCGAAGACGAGGATGAGGCATGGCGGCAGCGGCGGAAGCAATCATCATCAGAGATATCCCTGGCCGTGGAGCGGGCCCGGCGACGGCGGGAAGAGGAGGAGCGCCGGATGCAGGAAGAGCGCAGGGCAGCTTGTGCTGAAAAGCTAAAACGGCTCGATGAGAAATTTGGGGCACCAGACAAGCGACTCAAAGCAGAGCCTGCTGCTCCACCTGCTGCCCCAGCTCCACCACCTGCAGTGCCCAAAGAACCCCCTACACCTCCAGCTCCACCATCAGCACCAACCCCAACACCAGAGAAAGAACTTGAAGAGCCAGCACAGGCCCCTCCTGCCCAGTCCACCCCTACTCCAAGTGTGGCTCCAGCACCCACCATCATGAGTGGTGGTGGCAGTACCAGTAGCACCAGCAGTAGCAGCTTTGAAGCCAGCCCAGGTACAGAGATGCTAGGTACTATGTTGGATATTTGTCTTTCTCCTCTGTGTTGAGGGTGTGGTAAGGATGAGAGTAAATAAAGGATAGGGCAGTTGGTTGTATAGCCTCTGAACAGGCAACCACACGTATACATGTAGATAGAGAGGAGGTTCTTTCATCTAAGTTTCAGAATGAGTAGTGATCTTAGTTTTTCTCTGTAAGTATAGAGTAAGTAGAACAGATGCTGGCTGTTTTTCTGGTGGCTTCGTAAGTTATTATTACCACTGTTACTGGCTCTCAGGGGACCATGGAGTGTTTTCATAGATCATAGCTGGGAAGGGCTTTTATTTCTCAGTCTTCAGAGAGAGAGCTAGAGGTGAGACCTGAAATGTTTAAAGAGTATTTGTGGAATGTGTGCTGATGGACAGTGATTACTTTCTTAAATGCAGTGGAACCCCAGTTTCCTTCAAAAGAAAGTCCTGAACAAACAGAAGAGGTACCTCCTCCAGCAACACCCCCGGCCCCAAAAGTGGAACCTAAGGGTGATGGAGCTGGTCCTACCCGGCAGCCCCCCAGTCAGGGCTTGGGCTACCCCAAATATCAGAAGTCATTACCACCTCGCTTCCAACGGCAGCAGCAGGTCAGTCCAGTTAATACTCTCTTCTGTGGTGTTTTGCATTTGTCTAGTCTGTAAGTTAACTTTCAAAATCTAAGTTACAGCTATTTTATATTAACACCTAGTCTGGAATAGTTGTGCCACATTTGTAAATTTGTACTTTGATGGTGTCTTTTCTGTCCTTAGAGATACAAAAGACACCAGTAGATGTAGGTGTCTTTGATGTTTATGGAATTTTCTCCTTTGTTCTTTACCAGGAACAGCTCTTGAAGCAGCAGCAGCAGTGGCAGCAGCACCAACAGGGCCCTGCCCCACCTGCCCCCGTACCCCCATCACCTCCACAAACTGTGAGCATGGGGGCTGTGCCAACTCCACAGGCCCCACCACCACCACCCAAGGCCCTGTACCCAGGTGCTCTGGGCCGGCCCCCACCCATGCCTCCGATGAATTTTGATCCTCGCTGGATGATGATCCCTCCCTATGTGGACCCTCGGCTCCTCCAGGGCCGGCCCCCTTTGGACTTCTATCCTCCCGGGGTGCATCCCTCTGGTAAGAGTTCTTATGAGAGATAGGGGAATCCTTGCCTCTGTGAGATGGACAGTGAGTTTTCAGTGAAGAGGTTGGGCCACCAGTGAAAAGAGGAAGGCAGATACTTAGTTTGGTGAGATAGGCCTTTGTTGGCAGAATGGGCTTATGGGCAGAAGACATAAGGATGTTTCAAACTAATATTAATTTGGAGGGACTGATTATTTCATAGGAAACAGTGCATAATTGCTATAAAAGAATAGACAAGATTCAAGTTCATTGGAAATAAGACATGGAAGAACAATTTAACAGGGAAAACCAGAATGGGGAGATACTTTTTGGGCTGGGGCCTCTGAAGAGTTTTTGAAGGGGTTTGTTTGGGTTGTTTTTTTTCCCTGCCTTCCTCCCCACTCCCCCACTCCCGCTTTCTTCTTCGTTTGGTTTTGTTAGGTCTAGTTCCCCGGGAACGCTCAGACAGTGGAGGCTCAAGCTCAGAACCATTTGAACGTCATGCACCACCTCTTTTGCGGGAACGGGGCATGCCACCAGTGGATCCAAAGTTGGCCTGGGTAGGAGATGTGTTTGCCACCACATCTACCGCTGATCCCCGCCCATTGACATCCCCCCTGCGCCAGGCTCCAGATGAGGATGACAAGGGGATGAGGTATGTTAGGATAATGTGGTATGAATGAACCTAGTGAAAGGGCTAAAGAAAAAGACTTTTGGATTATTTGTTAGATGGTAGTCATAAACCAGAAAGAAGTGTCTGGCTTATAATAGTGTTCTTTTTTTTACCTAGTTAATCTCTGTTTCCTTCTCTTGAGATAATTTGTTTCTATTCTCCACTTTCCCACTTCAGGAGTGAGACCCCTCCAGTGCCTGCCCCACCACCATATCTGTCCAGCTATCCAGGCTTTCCTGAGAATGGAGCCCCTGGACCCACAATCCCTCGGTTCCCACTGGAAGAATCCGCTCCCTCAGGGCCCCGTCCAATCCCCTGGCCCCCAGGTAATGATGAGGCATCCAAGATACAAACTCCACCACCCAAGAAGGAATCCCCCAAAGAGGAGACGCCACAGTTAACAGGACCAGAAACAGGACGAAAACCCACCCGAGGGGTTGGAGGAGGCAGCCAAGGTCCACCACCACCACGCAGAGAAAACCTCACAGAGACCCGATGGGGCCCTCGCCCGGGCAGCAATCGCCGGGGAATCCCTCCAGAGGAGCCAGGGTGCCCTCCTCGCCGAGCTGGGCCTATCAAAAAACCCCTACCACCTGCGAAAGTTGAAGAAATGCCTCCCAAGCCTCTTGAACAGGGGGATGAAACCTCCAAAACCCCAAAGCCAGACCCACTCAAGACAGCAAAGGGGAAAATGGGGAGCCTTAAGGAGCCTTCACCCAGTGGGAATCTTTCTCCTGCTCCTAGGCTTCGGCGGGACTACTCTTATGAAAGGGTGGGTCCAACCCCTTGCCGGGGTAGGGGACGAGGAGAGTACTTTGCCCGAGGGAGAGGTTTTCGGGGCACCTATGGGGGACGGGGGCGGGGAGCCCGAAGCAGAGAGTTCCGCAGTTACCGAGAATTTCGTGGAGATGATAGTCGTGGAGGTGGGTCAGGAGGACCAAACCACCCCCCTGCTCCCCGAGGTCGTACGGCCAGTGAGACACGAAGTGAAGGTTCAGAATATGAAGAAATTCCCAAACGGAGGCGGCAGCGGGGCTCAGAAACTGGCAGTGAGACTCATGAGAGCGACCTGGCCCCCTCCGACAAAGAAGCTCCCCCACCGAAGGAGGGGAGTACTCACTCAGACACCGCTTGCTCCCCCACCACCAGGAGCACCCCCTTCACCAGCCCCTGCCAGGTTTTCCACTGCACGAGGTGGACGTGTCTTCACTCCCAGGGGGGTCCCTTCACGCAGGGGCCGAGGAGGAGGTCGGCCACCACCTCCTGTTTGTCCTGGCTGGAGCCCTCCAACAAAGACTCTGGTCCCTAAGAAGCCTCCAGCAGGGCCTTTGCCACCAAGCAAGGAGCCTTTGAAAGAGAAGCTGATCCAAGGTCCTCTTTCTCCCATGGCCCGGGGAGGTGGTGGTGGTGGCAACAGCAATGTAGGCATGAGTGTGGAAGATGGCGAGCAGCCTCGAAGGAGGCGACATGGGAGGGCTCAGCAGCAGGACAAACCGCCTCGGTTCCGGAGGCTGAAGCAGGAACGGGAGAATGCTGCTAGAGGGGCTGAGGGCAAACCCTCTTCCCTGGCTTTGCCAGCCTCTGCTCCGGGGCCAGAGGAGACCTTGGCAACAGTGACAGTGCCCCCGCCACCTCGCCGAGCAGCTGCGAAGTCTCCTGATCTATCGAACCAGAACTCAGACCAAGCTAATGAGGAATGGGAGACCGCATCAGAGAGCAGCGATTTCGCCAGTGAGCGACGGGGAGACAAAGAAGCTCCCCCACCAGTGCTTCTGACTCCCAAGGCCATGGGAGCTCCTGGGAGCAGTGGAGGTGGGTCTACACCAGGCATTTCAACTGTGTCCCGTGGAGACCTGAGCCAAAGAGCCAAGGATTTAAGTAAGCGGAGCTTCTCAAGTCAGCGACCAGGCATGGAACGTCAGAACCGGCGCCCAGGCCCTGGGGGCAAGACTAGCAACAGTAGTAGCAGCAGTCGAGGAGGTGGTGGGGGCCCAGGGGGAAGAACTGGCCCAGGAAGAGGGGACAAGAGGAGCTGGCCATCTCCCAAGAACCGAAGGTGTGTGGGACAGACTTGTTTCCTTAATGCTTAAAAAAATTAGAGGTTGGGAAGAAGCTGAGGAGAAAATATAATTGGTTACTAGGCTTCTGAGATTCAAGGGTAGGTGGGCTCATTCTATGTCTGAAACTGGAATCATAGCTTCATGGGTAAACAGTGGCAGGTTAGTATCATTAATGTTTAAATGCACCTTTTTCTTTGGTACTAAGAGTGAGAGGTTAGAAGGGAGAGTGATGTATTTCATTTGCAGGAAGAGGATAGTGATCTTGAATATTAAAACTGATACTCTTCTCTTTAGCCGTCCTCCAGAGGAACGGTCCCCAGGACTTCCTCTGCCTCCGCCACCCCCAAGCAGTTCAGCTGTTTTTCGCCTGGACCAAGTTATCCACAGCAATCCTGCTGGCATCCAACAAGCTCTGGCCCAGCTCAGCAACCGCCAAGGGGGTGCAGCTGCACCAGGAGGGCACCCAAGGCCCAAATCTGGGCCTCCCCAAGCCCCTCAGGGCCCCTCCCCTCAAACCCGATATGACCCTCAGAGGGCCAACAGTAACTGCATTAGTGCTGGTAAGTTGAGAGAAGAGAGGAATGGGGTTGCTGCCATCCTAAGAAAAAGTCATATGCTAGAGGAACCTGGCCTGGGAGCTTCCTCTAAGTATCTGCAGCGAGAAAAGAGGGCAGTGTTGGGAAGTGATATGGGATGGGGAAAACGAGGGTGAAAAATAGAGCAAGGCAGTTGCTAACAGTTTTCTCTTTTCCCCAGACACCCACTTTGAGGAGCTGGGGCCAGTGGTGAGAGGCGTGGGTGGGACTTCTCGGGATTCTGCGGGAGTCAATCCTTTTCCCCCCAAACGGCGGGAAAGGCCTCCCAGGAAACCAGAGCTGCTACAGGAGGTGAGACATGAGCTAGAAATGGTGTGTTACTACTTTTTCCACTGAAGGTTCTTGATGATCTTAATTCTTTTCTGTTCTGTCATTGTTTTCTTACCGAGTTCTCACACCTTAATATTGCCACTTTTCTACTCAACTGATTCTCTATTGGGTTTGGTTTTCTTAACCTTTAGGACTCCTTGCCATCATCTCATAGCTCTGGGTTCTTGAGCTCTAAGCCTGAAGGCCCAGGCCCTCGGGAAGAATCCAGAGATACAGGAACTGAGGCCCTGACCCCTCACATCTGGAATAGTTTACATACTGGTGAGTAAAACTGAGCAGAATTAATCTAAACAGAGTAGAGCAAGAGATGGGCTTCAGAACCATTTTTCACTTCCTCTTTTGTTGTTGCTGTTCCCCCTCTAGCCACTAGCCAGAAGAATTACCGTCCTGGCTCCATGGAGCCCTGGATGGAGCCCTTGAGCCCCTTTGAGGATGTGGCTGGTACTGAGGTGAGTGAAGCTGGGCAAGGGGAGCTTTTGGTTATCAGGAGAGCTTGGATTTTGTGACCCATTAGCCATACATCTCCACTTGTTTGGTGTGGGTTCAGGGCTGTCTCTTAATTATCCATAGTATATGTGAATCAGGCAATTACTGGGGTGCTTTGTCTAATCCTGATTTAATGCCTCCTCTTAGATGAGTCAGTCTGACAGTGGAGTAGACCTGAGTGGGGACTCTCAAGTGTCATCAGGTCCCTGTAGCCAGCAAAGTTCCCCTGATGGCGGACTCAAGGGGGCAGCAGAGGGACCCCCTAAAAGGCCTGGAGGCCCTTCACCCCTGAATGCTGTTTCTGGTGAGGGTCCACCTGGCTCTGAACCCTCTGAACCTCCTAGGAGACGGCCACTTGCCCCCCATGATGGGGATAGAAAGGTAAAGACCAAGAAAATTCGGAGTATTTTGGAAATCTTTAGTTTGGCCCCTCTTCCTCTTTTTTGCATGTTCTACAGAGCTCCTGGTTTTGGTTTCCATTTTCCTCTCTTACTGTATTTTCCAACCCAGGATCTTCCCCGGGAGCAACCTCTGCCCCCTGGCCCTATTGGCACAGAGCGATTGCAGCGCACAGATCGAGGTCCAGAACCTGGTCCTCTCCGGCCATCCCATCGACCTGGCCCGCCAGTCCAATTTGGCACCAGTGACAAGGTTTGTGTAGGCTAAATTTGTAAGTACCTTGAGTTGAGTAGTGGTAAAAGGGTGACATACAAGAAAATGTCTGAGGCAAAACCATCTCCTCTATTTCATGATCACAGGATTCAGACTTGTGCCTAGTGGTTGGAGATAGTTTGAAAGCAGAGAAGGAGCTAACATCATCTGTCACTGATGTGAGTAGAAGAGTAGACATTAATAGAAAGGCTTTTGATTTCTGGAGATTTCTGGGAATGATCTGTATGCCGGACACACTTTTTAAAATGTTGTTCTTTTCAGGCTGTCCCCATAGCTCGAGAGTGGGAGCTACTCCCCAGTGCTGCTTCCTCTGCTGAACCACAATCCAAAAACCTGGGTTCTGGGCACTATGGCCCAGAGCCCAGCTCCTCAGGCCAGCGCCTGTATCCTGAGGTCTTCTATGGCAGCCCTGGGCCTCCTGGTTCTCAGGTAGTCTCACTTCTTGTTGAATAATAATTACCCTTCCTCCTCCTCCCCCCCCCACCATTGTGTCTAATAATGAAGCCTCTTCAAGTTGCATAGATTTGAAACATTTAGTGGATGGTGGTGAAGTGACCTTTTTTTAGCCAGAACAGCTGAAGCTTGTCTCTTGCAGGTCTCTGGGGGAGCCATAGACTCTCCGTTACATCCCAGCAATGGGGGCTTTCGCCCTGGAACCCCCTCATTGCACCCCTACAGGTAAAGACTGTATCCTTGGAATGTAGAAAGAAATACTAAGTTTCCAAGGGAGAAAAGTGGACATTCCTTGTTAATTATAGGGTACCAAAGGCTAGTGGACCACAAGTAAAAGGCTTAAAAGAGGAAATACTTCTGGCTTTCCCAGGTCTTTCCACTGACTGGGATCCCTTCTATTTCTTTTTAGATCACAGCCCCTGTATCTGCCACCAGGCTCTGCTCCTCCGTCAGCACTGCTTTCTGGGGTAGCTCTCAAAGGCCAGTTTCTGGATTTCTCAGCACTGCAAGCAACAGAACTGGGGAAGTTGCCAGCTGGAGTTCTCTACCCTCCACCTTCCTTTCTCTATTCTCCAGCTTTCTGCCCTAGCCCTTTGCCGGACCCACCTTTGCTTCAGGTAAGTGGTGGGTAAGGCTTGGAGACTTTAGAAATGGGAAATAATGCTTTGGGGAAAACAGAGTTTATGCGTTTCTCCGAACAGGTACGCCAGGATCTGCCATCTCCCTCGGATTTTTATTCTCCTCTGCAGCCTGGTGGTCAAAATGGCTTTCTCCCATCAGGGGCTCCTGCTCAGCAGGTAGCTTTTGTTTTCCCCTTCATGACATTTTCTTCCTCCATCTTCTGAACTTAATGTTTTTATTCTCAACTTGATTCTTTGGTGTTGGATTTCTGATCATTTTTATCTGATACTCTTTTCCCCAACCCACCCTCAAATTCTTGTTACAGATGCTTCTGCCCATGGTGGACTCACAGCTGCCCGTGATGAACTTTGGTTCTCTGCCGCCTGCGCCACCTCCTGCCCCTCCCCCACTCTCCCTATTACCTGTGGGCCCTGCTCTGCAGCCCCCCAGCCTGGCTGTCCGGCCCCCACCTGCTCCTGCTACTCGGGTTCTGCCTTCACCCGCCAGACCCTTCCCCCCTAATTTGGGGCGAGCAGAGGTAAGGTATAAGAACTGAGGTGGTGAGAAACTCCAAAATTTAGGAGTGGAGACTGTATTTGAAAAATGCTTGGATTGAGAGGCAGGACTCATTAATTTTTCTTTTCACAGCTGCACCCAGTGGAAATAAAGCCGTTTCAGGATTATCGAAAACTCAGCAACAATCTTGGTGGTCCTGGGTCATCACGTACTCCCTCAGCTGGAAGGTAAAGAGAAAGGACTAGAAACCGATGTCATCTCTATCCCCTTGGACTTTCTTATCCTTGGATCTGGAAGCAATGTTCTAGGTTTGCCTTAAACATCTTTTCCTCCCTTAGGTCTTTCTCTGGCCTCAATTCCCGCCTAAAGGCCCCACCTCCCAACTACAGTGGAGTCTTCCGCACCCAGCGCATTGACCTCTACCAGCAGGTAAACGAGAAACCTTTGTGGCTCTTAATCTCAAGTACCTTAGTTCCTGACCCTGCTTTCTTAGTATTATTTACTCTCTTAACACCTTTTGCTGCCCCCAGGCCTCCCCACCGGATGCCCTGCGCTGGATGCCGAAGCCTTGGGAACGGACAGGGCCACCTTCTCGAGAAGGGTCCTCTCGAAGGACAGAAGAGCCTGGGTCCCGAGGGGACAAGGAACCTGGGTTACCCCCACCCCGCTGAGGGGAAGATCCCCTTGCCCCTCACCCTCCACCCCCCGGGGCTTGTATATAGATTATAAATATATATAAGGGGGAATGGGGTGGGTGGGGAGGAGTTGTGGGGCTGGGGCCTTGCTTCCCCTCCTCCCCCTTCCCCTGGTCCCCTAACCCTGGGGCCGTTTGTTAAAAAAGAATAATAAAATAATTAAAAAAATATTTACAGATGATTTTGAGGATAGTTCTTTGCATTTCTGCATCCTAGAGTTCAGTGCAAAGTATGATTTATAGACGATTTTAGAATTTTTATTACTGATTCCAGTTTATCTGTGACACAAACCATCTCAAAATGTAAACCACCATTTTACTGAATCTTAAAATTTTATGGGTTGGAAATTCTGGCAGGGCTCTGCTTCATCTGGCAGTACAAGAAACGAGGTGGCGGCTGACAAATCTGTGATAGCTGCACATCTCTTAGGATTTCACCTACGTATCTGTGCGGCCTTGCATGTTAATTCCTTTTCAATACTTTGGAGACAGTGTTAAAAGAGGTAGCCTCAGTGGCAGATGCAGTATGTGTGACCTGGCCTCAGGATGTCTCAACCACATTGTTGGTCTTAACACCACAGGAATTCAACTACTACTCAGAGTAGCACACTATGGTAAGACTTTTAAGACGCCACTGACTCAGTGACCCTTTGAACAACAGATTGAACCTTAACCTATCCTCACAGTCTCTCTAGATCAAGCCTGTCATTGTCATCCATTTAGTTAAAGATCTTGTACCAAGGACTGGCCCTTCCTGATGACATCTAAAGTGTGAGGTAAGGTTTCACCATCTTTGCCCCTAAAGAGCACTCCAAGATAATTATTCTGACCATGATGGTCTCTTTTCTTACCCAGTTTTCATATGCCATACGTGGTGGTAAGAACTGACTCATAGCTGACTCTCCAGCAGGTTTTCAGAGGCAGTAAATTACAGAAGAGACTACCCATCTTCTAGTTGGTGGATTAATACTGCATGCTGCAGTGCAGTTTAACACTAAGGCCACCAGAGCTCCCAGATGCATAGAAAACGGAAAATGTTATATGCTGTCGAGTCGCTTGCGACTCATAGCGACCCTATGTACAACAGCCCTAAATCCTGCTCTATCCTGTGCCATTCGCACTGCCTGACACACCCATCCCGATTACCCGTCACCGAATCAATCCACCTCACAGAGGGTCTTCTCCTCTTGCGCCATCCCTCCACCCTCCCAAGCATGATGTCCCTCTCCAAGGACCTGTCCCTCCTTACAGCATGTCCAAAGTAGGTCAGACGAAGCCCCAGAATCCTTGCCCCCAAGGAGCAGCCTGGTTTAACCCTCTGAAGGATACAGCTGTTTTCTTGGCAGTCCATGGTACACTCAATACTCTTCTCCAGAACCACAGTTCAAAGGCATCAATCAATTCTTCTGTCCTTCCTGGTCGTTGTCCAACTCTCTGAATGCATAACAAGTTATCGCAAAGACCATAGCCTGTATCAGGCGCACTTTAGTCTCCAGAGTGACACCATTGCTCTTCAGTACCCTAGAGAGGTCCCTAACAGCAGACTTTCCCATCGCAATACAGTTTTTTATTTTCTGGCTACTGGTGCCAAGAGTGTTGACCGTGGAACCAAGCTCACTAAAGTTGTTAACAATCTCAATCTCTTCACCATCCATCCTGATGCTGCCAATTGGTCCAGTAGTGAGAATCTTTGTCTTTGTGACATTGAGCCGCAATCCATATTGGAGGCTGCAGTCCTTGACCTTCTGCAGCAGGTGCTTGAGGCCCTCCTCAGTTTCAGCAAGCAGGATTGTGTCATCTACATCACACAGTTAATAGATCTTACAGCAATCCTGATGCCACACTTCTCATAGAGCCCAGCCTCTCGGATAATCTGTTCTGCATACAGGTTGAAAAGGTAAGAAGACAGGACACATCCCTGGCTTACACCTTTCCCAATTTTGAACCATGCAGTGTTACCCTGCTCTGTTCTGACAACTGCCTCTTGGTCCAAGTATAGGTTTCGCATTAGAACAGTCAAGTGTTCTGGAATTCCCATTCTTCTCAGCCAGTTCGTTATGATCCACACAGTCAAAACGCCTTTGCATAATCAAACACAGACATTCTTCTGGTATTACCTGCTTTCAGCTAAGATCCATCTAACATTAGCTACAATATCCCTAGTACTACGACCTCTTCTAAATCCAGCCTGGACTTCTGGCAGTTCTCTGCTGAAAATAACATACATAATAACCTGGTTATGCTTTATTTGTTGGCCAACTTCTAGGTGCCTAGAAATCAGTGACTTGAATGGTACTGAAAGCACCACTTGGTCTTTAAACAGATATCCTTGTTGCTTAAGAGGCAAGGATAGTGAAACTGTCACCTACTTTGGGTATGTTATCAGGAGCCAGTCCTTGAAAAAGATAACCATGTTGGGAAAGATAGAAGGTAACCAAAAGACTTCTCAATCACGTGACAACAGTTAACAATGAGCATGTTAAGAGATTATGAAGTAGCACAGTCCATGGGGATTGCTATATTGGAGACAATTCACACCTAATAATAAAGTGGTTTTTCTGTCAACATCTAAGCACTTCACTAGCGTATTCGCTGAACTGGATGCGCACCAACTTGGTTGAGGTACGTGTGGCACAACTACTCAGTAGTCCCAAGAGTAGGTCTGCAGATATATGAATGAAAGGTTTAGTGCTAGATAAACTGAAACCTGTAAGCATCTAACAGTTTTAACACAACCTAGTTGATACCAGTTGGTCTGCATGTAGAGGGAGCTCTGGTAGCTTATTAGGTGCCATTGAGTCCAGTGCGATTCACAGTGACCCTATGAACAAGAGATCTGAACTCTGTTCCGTCCTCACAATCTGACAAGTCCACTGCTACAGTCACTGTCAAACCATCTGGTTCAGAGTCTTCCTCTCTTTTGCTTTCCAAGCAAGATGTCCCTCTACAAGGTGAATAGCCTGTCCTGTCCTTGCCACATGCCCAAAGTATGAGACAAAGCTTCAACTTTGCCTCCAAGGAGCCCTCTGACCAGATTGTGTCTCTGAGACATACCTGGTGGCTTAGTGTTAAGAAACTGCACTGCCGGGGAGCTCTGGTGGCCTAGTGGCAAGGAGCTGCAACTACAATCCCAGAGGCACACGGTTCAATTCCACCAGATGCTCTGCCGGGGAAGGAGGGACAATCTCCTCTTGTACCTGTCAGATCTGATCTGACGGTACACTCACACAAAAATAATAAAATAAAAAAAGAAATTGCACTTGCCAAACACTGCTGGTCCATGAAGAAAGATGGGCAGTCTCCTGTGCCATTTACTGGCTCTGATGACACACAGCTTGAGGGTCTGCTGTAAGATGATTTTTTTTTTGGATCATAAATTAGAATTCATTAACCACATGAAACCATGTTATAAAACAAAATCCCCGTGAATGATTAAATGAAACACCAAAATGATCTGTAAACTTTCAAATTTTAAGAAAAGGCACACTTAAAGAGTGTCAGTGAAGTGACAATACTCTGCAGGGTGGGGGCAATGTCCTCCAGGGGGCTGTGTATAATCTAAACCAGCCTCCAGTATGTGAAGTTGCCAGGAGTAGCAGGTCCAGAAATCAAAGGGCAGAAAGGGTATCACCCCAGTGCCCTGCTCACAGAATTACTGCTTCCTGTCCCTGCACCCGAAGCTCTGTGGCTTTGGAACTCATAATTGCCAAAAGGAAGAACACTCCCAGCTGGACGCACAAGCTCGATTCCTCAATAGTATTCACCACCACCCCCAACCCCAAGTATGCACCTGAAATAAACTATCTTAGAACTAGGCTTGTTTACAGGTAAGACCCTTATTTACAAAAAGGTTTCTGGAAACACGTCCAACTATCAAATTCTTGCACTACTTAATATACAGACCACGGAGCCAGGAAAATCCGACCTTTATTTCTTAAATACTGTGAAGAAGGGGGAGGGGAGTAACGGTCCCCTGATATGGCAGGGTCATAGAGCAAAAGGCTAGGGATCATCAGCAAAGGCCCGGTGGGCATTGGGGAAACGCTGGGGGCTGTAGTTGGGGTCTTCCTGCAGTCGCTTTTGTATATCAGACCGGAGCTAGAGAGAGAGAGTGGACCAAGTTGAAAAGGCACTGGCTGAGGTCTTCTGGTCCCAGCAGGAACACAAGGCCATCATCCCTCAGGATCTCACTCTTTCCCCCACCAAGCCACATGCTGTCAAAGCCCAAAAAGACATCACCAGGCCTTCCCACAAACACTTTTAACATCAAGTCGTAGCCCCAGAGAGACCAGCTGTAAAGGGATGGGTAAGAGAGACCCTAGCCCAACCCCTCCCAGTGGACCATCCCTATTCTGCTTCAAGATGGGGGCACCTGCTGCCTGTAGCTCTCCTGAACCTCTGGTGCCTCCAGGTCCCGGCTCAGGCTCTCTGGGCTCGTCAGGGGCCGAGCTCCGGCTGCCTTAGCTGCCCGGCTCACGGCCTCTGAGAGAAGCAGCTGGGGGCCCTCACCCTGCATCGTCTGGGGGATGGGGTCAGGGAGGGAAAAGAGGATCAACATCAGATCCAATGCCACCACCCAGTTCACCCTTTCCAAGAGTCAATCAATGAGTCTCTATGCTAGTGGACGGAAGGGGGGGTGGAGGAATCCTCAGGTGGCTGACAGCAGAAATGCCTTCCTAATGGTTTTGGGTTTTTTTTTAATGCTCTGGCCCCAAACCAAAGTGTTCAAATGTGCAGAACTTGCTTTTCAAAATGAGTGAGATGGACCAAGCCATCTGACAATCAGAACTTGCTAATCCATGTAAGAAGCCTTCCTTAAGGAAAATGGGCCCAGGCACCTGTGGATTATGAAGAGGGACTAAGCAAACAACTAGAACACAGATTAAGGTTAAGTCTTCTGTAGTTACATAAAAATCTTGAGCAAATCTAGTCCCAAAGAGGTCTCCTCATCAATTAGGAGAGAGTAAGAAAGTATTCTTTAGAAAATTCAAAACTCTTTTAGTCTAAGCATGACAGGGAAATCTGGATAAAGCAGAACCTTCAGGGAACAGGCAAACCAACCTTGCGTCTTTTGGCAGGCATACCGCTGAGGTAGGCATCACTCAGGGGGGGCTGCGGTTTCACCTTCCGTTGGCTCTGAATGTCCTGCTGGATAATAGGGA